TTTGTTTCTTCAGATCAAATGGTCAATGAAAGTTTTTATCCGGAAGTTTTGAGGAGGTTTTGTCATGGTTTGTGGAAGGAACATTCCCAGTTGTGGCAAACAGGTGACTGGTTCTTCCACCATGACAACACACCTGCCCACATCTCACTGAGTGTTCAGCAGTTTTCAACCAAAAGCGGCTTGACCCCTGTGTCCCACCTCTATATTCGCCCACTCTCTCCCTGAGTGACTTTTTTGTTTCCCTGGATGAGAAAAATTCTCAAAGGGAAACATTTTGCTTATGTGGAAGAGGTGCAACAAAAAACAGCAGAAACACTGAAGACATCAAAATCGACAAGTTCAAAAACTGTTTTGAGCAGTGGAAAAGCATTTATATGGGTGTGTTGCATTAAAGAGAGAGTACGTTGAAGGTGACTGAAGTTTAAATGTGTACAAATGAATAATTTTTATTTTATTGTATTTTTATTTTTCATTTTTTGAGTTCTGGTGTCACTCTGTCGCCCAGGCTGGAGTGCAGTGACACTCTCACGGCCACTGCAGCCTTGACCTGCTGGATTCAGGTGATCCTTCCACTTCAGCCTTTCGAGTAGCTGGTGAATAAATAATGTTCAATAAATAAATTGGTTTTTTTTGGCGCCCCCTTCATACCACAGGAAAATGGTAGAACTGTTTCTTCTGGGAGGATAGTGGGTCTGATAAACATTCTTTTTATTTTTTATAGTTTCTCTTGCCTTGAAACCAAATGCAAACTCCTGCTTCCCTTTAACCTTCTGCTCCTCAACTACAGCCTATATCCTGAATAACTGCTTTGATCTTGTCATATATTTTGCTTCTTACCCTCTTTCCTGGTCAATCAAATTATGTTGTCCTGACTAGAATGGTTGAATGGTTCCTAAGTTTCTATGTGTGGGATTCAATAATTGAGATTTAAAAATAGCTATCAGCAAACCCTTTGACCATTAACCATGAACATAAACAATGTCCCAGAAAATATGAGGAAAAATTTTAAATGTACATGGAGGATGGAGAGGAACATATAAATCTAAGTTTATGTGTAGAAACTTTGTTTCTAATGTATTTATATGTATTTATTTTAACTTCTTGAGTTTGCAGAAGTTAGGACTTGGAAAATTACAGCTCTTTTAGAAAAAAAGAAAGAAACCATGTTCTGTCCTCTAGACTTTTGATGTATTTTGAAAACTTTGTCCTGACTAATAATTTGACCTTTGAATGACTAACTTCTCATCATTCGGGTCTTTCCTTAGACCTCACTTCTAGGAAATCTTTTCCTCTAATTTTTCCATGATTAAGTGCTCCTGTTACATCCTGGGGTTATCCACACTGAATTATTGTTGCTTATTGTATTTGTCTAGTCCAGTACTTCTCAGCAAGGCCTTCCAGGAACACTTGGCAATGTCTAGATGCATATTTGGTTTTCACAAAAAGTGGGGGTGCTACTGGCATCTGGTGAGAAGAGATCAGGGATGTCCTGCAACAGTGTGAGGACAGCTGAGTTAGTTTTGTAAGCTAAAATTTTATTTTGTACTTTTAAGTTTATATAAAAATGAAAGTAGTACAAAACATTTTGCATCTGTTGTCCATTTCCCATTAATATTTACTTCTTTCCATGCTAATATGAATTTTCACGAGTAGCTTTTATTCATTTACATTTCTGCTTGTGGCATAAGGCATAAAAATGTGTGTATAATGAATAAAAGAATACTCCAGAAGAATAATTTTAGATGCATGTTAGAATGCTCTGAGAGAAAATAAGGGTAATGTACTATTGAAGTATCTGACATCTGTGCATTTATTATCAAAGCCCAAAATATATTCAGGTTGGTATAGTAAAGAAACATCTTATAGCATTGGCACTACTGCTTTTACTTTAGTTCTAAATGAAGTGTTATGAATCAGAAATTCAAACTATTTTATTGTAGTGGAAGCAGCCATTCATTTTATTTTCCGCATGCTTTTTATCTAATCATTCAGCAGACATGGGTCCGGTTCCTATTATGAGCCGGGTCTTTAGGCATTTGGGAAATGAGCCAGTTCTTGCTTCCAAGCAAGCTCAGGAAGAGAGGCAAATGACATGACCACACACAGACTTTGCAGTAGTGTGTGTACAAAGTACTACAGGAGGACCAAGGAGGAGAGGGCTCTCAAGCTGTGTCAAGTCTACCAGGCTAAGAATAAGGGACTGACTTTTTTTGAATTGGAGTCTCACTTTGTCACCCAGGCTGGAGGGCAGTGGCACACTTTCGGCCACCGCAGCCTCAGCTTGCTGGGCTCCGGTGATCCTTCTGCCTCAGCCTTCCAAGTAGCTGGAACTACAGGCATGTACCACACCCCTGGCTAATTTTGGAGTTTATTGTAGAGGTCTCGCCAAGTTGCCCAAGCTTGTCTTGAACCTGTGGGCTCAGGCAGTCCTCTTACCTCGGCCTCCCAAAGTGCTGGGATTATAGGCATGAGCCACAGTGCCTGGCCTAGGGCTCGGTTTTATAGGTAGAGAAAATAGTCTGTGTAAAAGTTAAGCTGCATAAAATAGATATTTGTAAGTCACTCCTTGTTTATAGCTTCCAGTGCTTAAGAAATAGGAAATGTTAAAAGATTGTTTTCAGAAAAAGGTAACAGCATGACTCATACAGATGTAAAAATGAAAAACTCATTCGCTGAGATGTTATAACCAGTTCAAATGAAAATTTTTAAACAGCAGAAGTTTGTATGACATGATGGAATGTCGATTGTAAATAGAAATCAAGCTGCTTTTTTCCCATAGTGTGAAAAAGAAGGCAGTGAATATCTACTGGACAGGATGGAATTTGCATGTCTGTCAGTTACCTACAGAATATAAACTTGTAAAATAGCTTCCATAAAATTAATATGACAATGTGTACTCTTCATTGGAGTACCAAATTATTTTCTGTGGGAATTGCAGAGAATTGTAAAGCACCTTCCAGTGTTCTCAAAGAATCTGTACTGTATGTAATAGGGAGTCATGAAAATTTTTGAATTAGGAGAATTAAACCAAGTTGTATTTTAGACAAAAACAATTGAGGTGACAGTGTATACAATTAATTTAACAAGGAAGCAACCAGTGCAGTGATGCTATTGCAGTGACAGTAAGAGTGAAGTTGGAGGGAGCAATTCAGTGAACATTAGGAATTAGAATCCTTAAGAACATGAGACGTGAGAAGAGACAAGGTTTCTGGCTTCAGTGATTGCAAGGAGAGTGGGTCATTTTACGGACAAAAGGAATAAAAGAGGGGAAGCAATATTAAAGATAAAGATAGTTTTTGGACATGTGCCTTTTGAAATGATGTGACAGACCAAGGTAAAAATGTTCATTATGCAGTTAGAAATCAGATTTTGGCTGGGTTTGGTGGCTCAGCCTGTAATTCCAGCACTTTGGAAGGCCGAAGTGAGTGTATTGCCAGAGCCCACGGGTTCGAGACCCACCTGGGCAACTTGGCGAGACCTTATCTCTACAATAAGTCAAAAAACTAGCCGGGCGTGGTAGCGTGCGCCTGTAGTTCCAGTTACTGGAAGGTTGAGGTGGAAGGATCGCCGGAGCCCAGCAGGTTGTGGCTGCGGTGGCCGTGAGCAGCCATTGCACTCCAGTCTGGGGGACAGAGTGAGACTCCAATTCAAAAAAAAAAAAAAAAAAAAAGAAATCATAGATTTGGTACTAAGAAGAAAAATTTTAGGTTAAGGATTTTAGTTTGGCATCATTAGTTAAATTGGAACTTATATTACATTAAGTAACATCAGCTAGCTACTTAGGGATAACTTAACACAAAGACCAAGAACTCTGGAGAACATCTTTGTTTGCATGTCCTGAAGAACAATTGTAGTGTATATCTCAGGGGTTGTATGATTTGGTTGTCAGTCTTGCTTTTTTTTTTTTTTTTTTTGAGTTGGAGTCTCACTCTGTTGCCCAGACTGGAGTGCAGTGGCTGCTCCCGGCCACCGCAGCCTCGACCTGCTGGGCTCCTGGGATCCTTCCGCCTCAGCCTTCCAAGTAACCAGAACTACAGGCGTGCGCTACCACCTCCGGCTGATTTTTTGATTTATTGTAGAGATGAGGTCTCGCTGCCCAGGCGGGTCTCGAACCCTCGGACTCAGGCAGTCCACTCACCTCTGCCTTCCAAAGGCGTGGGATTACAGGCTGAGCCACCGAGCCCGGCTTCAGTCTTGATTCTTAATAATGACACCTCTTTAGCTTTAATCGTATCTTTCATTGATAATTGAAGCTATATTTTTTTTTAAAGTTGTAGCCTGTTTATAAATCAGCAGGAGAACTTTGAATACAAAATTCTTAGTCACATCTCACATCAGGGATATATTATATTTTAGATTTCAGGTTGAGAAAGACTTGGTTCAAGGTTATGTGCTAGTGTGAGAAGTGAAATCACCAGAAGACAGAGAATGAGAAAGACAAACTCAATCCTAGGCCTTTTGTAATATTTTCTTTAAAATATTGTGGATTTCTGTAGTTATATTTTCAGACCAAATGCATTCTGGATTCATTGGAGTCTGAGGGCTGTGCTGCTCTGCTGAATAATCTGGATTATTATATAGTTAAGTGTGAATTGATTTTACTGTTCATTAGTTGAAGGGAAGAGACACCTGCATTATTTGTCTTCCCATTTTGCCTTTCTTCACAATGTCATTGTTAATGTAGCATTTCCTCCTTTTTGAGAGACTGTATTGACCCTGTTTTATTCCATTCTTGTCTTGGAGTTTATTTTGAGGTAGAAACCCCGCTCCATTACCACTACAAGCACCGTTTAGGTAGGAAGTACAATTTTACATTGTTAAGTCGGCTTAGTTTTTTAAAAATGTGTATGTAGATATATTAGTTATAAATTATAACATCTATTTAGAGGATTTTGTGATTAGAGTTTGGACAGAGTTTTTATAACTGGCATTTAAAAAATATTTGGTAGCATTTAGAGTTTAAAATTTAGAGAAACATTGAACATGTTTTTTCTTTTTAGATCATCCAATTATGATGGGCTTTGAACCCCTTGTGAACCAGAGATTACTTCCACCTACCTTTCCTCGATATGCAAAAATTATTAAAAGGGAAGAAATGGTCAATTATTTTGCAAGATTGATAGATAGAATAAAAACTGTCTGTGAGGTTGTGAATTTAACAAATTTACATTGTATCCTGGTAAGTACATACCTCTGTTCTGGAAAATAACTTTGGTTTTTAAAATTTGATGCATAGTAATTATACATGTATATTTTATACATATTTATGGGGTGACTTTGGTTTAATAAGAAAATAGTTTATCACTTTTTGGACACTGACTATCTTTTTTTTTTTTTTGAGTTGGAGTGTCACTCTCTCACCCTGACTGGAGTGCAGTGGCCGCTCCCGGCCACCGCAGCCTCATCCTGCTAGGCTCCGGCGATCCTTCCGCATCAGCCTTCTGAGTAGCCGGAATTACAGGCATGCGCTACCACGCCCGGCTGATTTTTTGATTTATTGTAGAGATGAGGTCTCAAACCCGCAGGCTCAGGCAATCCACTCTCCTCAGCCTCCCAAAGGCGTGGGATTACAGGCTGAGTCACCGAGCCCGGCTTGGCTATCTTAAATAGTCCTGTTTACCTGTTTTCTGTGATAGCTAGCGGATTATATGTACAAGTATTCTATTTATTTCTCATAATGATTTTACATTATCCACTTTACAGATTAAGAAACTGAAATTAAGAGAGGTTAGCTAATTCATCCAAATTGTAAGAATGGGGATGAAACTCTGGATTTTTCTTTTTATATAGGTGTACATATGTATGTGTATATATATGCAGATACACATACACACTAATCTCTTATCGTGGACATCTTTTTTTCATGTCAACAAATATACATTTTACATTATTTTAATGGATGCATGATATTCCATTATAGGCATATGTTATAGAGTTTTTCAGTTCATTCATATTAAACTACATTTAGGTAATTTTTAGTGTTTCACTGTTGTAAACAATACTAAGATGAATGCATTTGTAGGTTAATCCTTATAGCATATGCTTCCTTCCCCCTTGAAATAAATTTATAAAAATGAAGTTGCTGGGTGAAAGAGTATGCCCAATTTTAAACCACCATATTTTGGATTCGTCTTTTTTATGGGTGAAAATATAGAAAAATAGGGCTCATTTGAAGAATATTAAAATATTGATGAATGAAGTTTTTATCTATTTTATATTTTTATTTTTTGAGTTGGAGTCTTACTCCATCACCTAGGCTAGAGTGCAGTGACATGTTCACAGCCACTCCAGGGTCGACCAGCTGGGCTCCGACGATTCTTCTGCCTCAGCCTTCCAGGTAGCTGGAACCACAGGCACGCACTACCCTACCCACCTAATTTTGATTTGTTGTAGAGACAAGGTCTTGCCACGTTGCCTGGGCTGGTTTTGAATCCGTGGGCTCAGGCATTCCACTTGCCTTGGCCTCCCAAAATGCTGGGATTATAGGCTGAGCTACTGAGCGTGGTTGAATGAAGCTTTTTAATGGTAAGGTTATAGTGGCATAAGGTTAGTAGGAAGGTAGAAAATATGCAAAATAAGATATTTATTATTAGGACATAGGTGTACTAATGTGTGTTGTATAATTGTGCACAGAAAGGCATTAGGCTGTTGTTATCTTGCATGCTGAGGTATATAATTGCTAGCCCCGTGTCATTTTCCCTGTGACGTCTTCCTTTTTGGATGCACGTTGCCACTGTACCTGTGTTTCTTGAGATCATAGAGTATCTAATTTATATTCCTAGTATTTAGCAGCAGTCTTTGGGATGTAGTTGAACATCAGTAAAGATTTGTAGTTTTATATTCTTTCTTGTAATGTTTTTATCTTCCCTTCCATTAATTCTTTGTCATTAAAGCTCAGCTTAAGTCTTTATTCCTTAGTGAAGCTTTCGCTGATTATGCCTTTATTGCCTTCTATTGCATTTGCTTTCTATTTAGAAGTTTGGTCTTAGTTCATCATAATTCATGGAATTTTAAGGTAGACTGAATCATAGACATAAGCCCATTTATTTTACAAATTTTGCAGCTAAATAAACTAAGGATTAAAGGACTTGTAACTGAATTAGATGACTGTGGTAGCATATCTGGAATTAGAAATTTTCTTGTTTTCTGCCAGATCAAGTTTTCTGATTCTAATTGTTACTTGGATGTATATTTGTGTTCTCCAGATCGATTGTAAGGTTTAAGTGTAAAGTAATATACTCTTAATGTGTATTGTTGCTTCACCAAGTCTGTTCTTCTATTCTTGGTAGACAAATGAACTTTAAAAAAAAAAGAGCAGCGAGACCTCATCTCTACAATAAATCAAAAAATCAGCTGGGCGTGGTAGCGCATGCCTGTAATTCCGGCTACTTGGAAGGCTGAGGTGGAAGGATCGCCGGAGCCCAACAGGTGGAGGCTGCGGTGGCCGGGAGCGGCCACTGCACTCCAGTCTGGGCGACAGAGTGAGACTCCAACTCAAAAATAAATAAATAAATCGCTCCAGTCTGGGCGACAGAGTGAGACTCCAACTCAAAAATAAATAAATAAATAAATAAATAAACAAACAAATAAATAAATAAAGGATGAAAGAGGCAGCAGGGCTGACTTGGGTTTTGATAAGCTCTTATATTGAAGGCTAGGTTGTCTGCCTTGTGCCAGTCATTGTCACCAAGCCCTCTAAGGAGTCCATGGCCCATTGTAGGCACTCATTCCAGGAGAATGAGTACGATTTTGATAATGAAAAAGTAGGAGAAAGGGCTTTTCTAGGAGTATGGACAAAGTGGTCACAGACTGTTAGGTCAGTCAGTCAGAATGGTTTTCTAAGTGTAGCGGTGGCTGCATGTTGAATTATGAATTGAGAAGCTGGATAAATTGGTATGGGTAGTTAAAGTGGAGGAAAAATTATAAAAACCCAAGTTGTTTAACTATGATTGAATTGTGGAACCATTGTGTGTTCTTGAGCAGGGAAGTGAAATGATGCAAATGAAAGTGGGTTTTTTTTTTTTTGAGTTGGAGTCTTACTCTGTTGCCCAGACTGGAGTGCAGTGGCCACTCTCGGCCACCGCAGCCTCAACCTGCTGGGCTCTTGTGATCCTTCTGCCTCAGCCTTCCAAGTAGCTGGAAATACAGGCGCGCTACCACGCCCGGCTAATTTTTGATTTATTGTAGAGATGAGGTCTTACCAAGTTACCTAGGCGGGTCTTGAACCCGCGGGCTTAGGCGATCCACTCACCTCAGCTTCCCAAAGGCGTGGGATTACAGGCTGAGCCACCGAGCCCGGCTGGAAGTGGTTCTTGTGTTGGAAGCTAGTGCAGAAGTGCAGGTGATGGGAGATGAGAACCTCAGACCAGGAGCTTGGCTGCTGAATGTGGAAGGATCACATACCTAGAATATTTATTCTTACACATTTCTATCTTATCATTATGTTACGTGAGAATTCAGCACAAATAGCAGGTAGTTAACACAAATTACTATAATTAATACTGTTACTTAGATAAGCCAAATTTTTAGTTTTCCTTATATTTAAGTCTGTTATATCCATAATCACAATATTAGTGGTATCGTCTAATAGTTAGTTTTTATTTTTTTTTTTATTTTTTATTCTTCATTTTTTGAGTTGGAGTCTCATTCTGTCTCCCAGACTAGAGTGTAGTGGCTGTTTCCAGCCACCGCAGCCTCGACCTGCTGGGCTCCGGCGATCCTTCTGCCTCAACCTTCCAAGTAGCTGGAACTACAGGCGTGTGCTACCACGCCCGGCTGATTTTTTGGTTTATTGTAGAGATGAGGTCTCGCTGCCCAGGCGGGTCTCAAACCTGCGGGCTCAGACAATCCACTCACCTCAGCCTCCCAAAGGCATGGGATTACAGGCTGAGCCACTGAGCCTGGCTATTAGTTTTTATCATTGCTCACACACATTAAAACAGTAATCATGGATCAGCTTCTGTCCTTCGTTGTACTTCTCATTCTTCTTTCTATTCTGTCCCATATTATGAGAAGCATTCTAGAGCAGCAAAGTAATTAATATTTTCCTCGGCTCCGAACAGGGTCTTCCTAGTCCGAGGTTCCCTTCTGGCAGAAGGTTAGGGATTGCCGTGTCTGAGGAATGACTGCATAACAGCATAGCGTAATAGAAGGGAGCTGGGAACCTGGCCTGGACTGATACCACTGGATATGAAGAGGGCATTGTACTGGATCCCTGGAAGACTTGGGACAGAAGATTTGGTGGTAGACGCCAAAAGCAGGAAAAGATTGAAGTTACGAGAGTGTAAGGGTCCGCATGGTCTTGAGGATCTGCATAAGAAATCTGTTACTATTAGGATAAAGTGCCAAATTATAAAGAGTGTTTACACTTATGTAAGATAAAGATAACATCCCAGTAAATTGGGAGAGGTCATAAATTACCAGTTCATATTTAAAAAGAAAGAACCATGAAACATGGCCTTACTAATAATTAAATGCAATTATAACAACTAGATTGAAAAGTATAGTAATATTTAAAACTGATAAAGGAGAGTAGTCATTCTCCTACACTCCTGTGGCTATATCTCAAAAGTCTTAACATGTGTATTGCCTGATCCAGCAGCTCCTCTTCTAGAGATTTAGCATAAAATCATCTGAGATATGTGCAAAGATGCACTAGAAATGTGTTTGTTCCATCATTGTTTGTCATCCTGAGAAACTAGAAAAAGTTTAAATACCTAATGGTGACACTATCCATTTTATGGTATATGTAGAATGCATGTCATAAAACCATTGTAAAGGATGTTTTAGAAAAATATTGACATGAAAAATATTTGTGAATACCAGATTGTGTTTAATAATATATATCCAGTTGCACATTGTTACACATACAAAAGAAAACATTGTCAGAGATGGTGACAAGTTCAGTTCAAAAAAAGACTGGAATAACAAGTACCAAAATGTTAATTCTGACTATTTCTAGGATGGCAAAATGCTAGGTGATAGTTTATTCTTTGCATTTTTCTGCATTTTCAACATTTTTGGCATTTTGCACATATGGAATAAAACATAATGGAAGTAGGAGGTGAGAGAAATTAGTGAAGAGAAGCTTACAATTTAGGAGCCCAGAATACGATAATTTTGACGGCTATACAGCAATTAGGAAGGATACTTAGTTTAGATACAGTAAATAATGGACTTCGTAGAATGTGTTCTGTCAGAGATAGGTACTATAACAGCAATAAGAAATACAGAAGTGGAGTACAGAGGAAACCGTGATAAGTGAGTATGCATCCATCCATTAATTCAGATATCTTTGGGTGCTTTCTTGGTGCTAGGGCTAGTATACCTTGATGACTAAAAGCAGATCATCTAAGTTGTTTTAGGACTTGCAGTCTAGGGTGAGACAGAAATTGATCAAATAATCATAAAAATGATTATAGAATTATAAACTCAAATAAGTGGTATGGAGGAAAGGAACCAGAGCATGTATGTATTGAAAGAACTGACCTCGATGATCAAGGAAGGTTTTTCTGGTAAAAGTAAAGCTAAAGTCTGAAAATCATGTAGGTATTAATTAGAATGTTAGGGATAAGGTTTTAGGCAAAGGAATCCGAATGTTCTTCATTGTGGTGGGAAAGAACATGACACAATTAAAAAACTGAAAGCCAGTAGAATGGAGATACAGAGTTACAGAGAGGTGTAGAGCTTGATGAGGTGAGAAAGAGAGGCTGTTCAAGCAAGGCCATTTAAGCCACATTAAGGACTTTGGTCTTTATTATAGAGCAAAGCAAAGCCATTAGAGTTTTAATCTGGATTGGTGTGCGTTGGATAGTGACACAACTGGATGAACAGTTTGCCAAAATAATATGGCTACATTGTAGAGAAAAGATTAGAAGGGGATCAGAGTAAACACAGACAAATGAAGAAGCCATTACTATAGTCCAAGGGAGAGGTAGTGGTAACTTGGATTAGAGGATAGCAGGCACATGATATGACCTTGTCATAGAGCTATGTGAGAGCTAAAATTTTGATAGAATATTGGTGATTAGTTAAATGCGAAGCAGGAGAAAGCTCTCAGGAAGGTATCTAGGTTTCTGACTTGGAAGTCTAGATGTACTCTGGCGCTGTTCACTGAAGTGGGTAAATTCTCAAAGAGGACCAGATGTAAGGGTCTTTAAGTTGAACTTGAGATGCCTTTGAAATATTTAAGCAGAAATACTGAGTAGGTGTTGGCTATATGAATAGAATTTAGAATTCTGTGTTAGAAATATAATTTTGAAATTAGTACAGGTGGAAATTGAAACGAGCAATAAAATTGTGAGGAAGAAAGTATATATACCAAGGGAAAAGGGTAGTCTAAAACTCAACTTTGGACCTATAAGACAGACTGAGAAGTGGCCAAAGAAGAGAAAAGTCGAATGTTTTTTCAAGAAGGAAGTCGGATGCTGCTGAGAAGTCAAATGAAGGAGATGCATAAGGTCTGAAACAAGTGTCCATTGGATTTAGTGATGGGAGACAATGGTGACGGTAGCAGAGAACCAGGTTAGCATGTGAAGATGGGCACGAGTTGAGACAGACGAGATAGTGGGTGCAGCCAGCTCCTTTGGAGAGAACGCAGAAGTTGAGCGAGAAATGTGGGCGCACATAAGCGCTTTTCTTCTTTCATTTTAAAGATGGGAGAAACTTGCCTGTTTAAATGTAAACAGACACAAAGAAAGAGAATTTTAATATGTAGGAGAGTGGATGATGGATGCTTGACGGTGTGTGAATGTTCCTGGAAAAGCTGGAGTTCTTAGTAAAAGTGGAGGAATTTCATTGTTGAAGCAAACAAGGAAAGGATCTGGTGCAGATGTATGTACAGTTAGAGGCTGAGCAGCTCAAGCACAGGGATATCTTGTTGGATGGATGACTTTCATTTTCTTTGTGATGTAGACTAGGAAGTAATCTCACTGGGAGTATGGACTTTGAAGAATATGAACAAAGTTTAAGAGTTAATTGTGTCAAAGAGAGTGAATTGACCAGGGAAACTTGATAGATTTGGGCCGAGCACCTGTTTAAACTTGGCGATCATGAGTCTGAAGAATAAATATAAAAAGAAAAGCAGACAAGGGACATCCATACTTAAAATTGGGTGTGAAGGAGAAAAGCTGATAAAGGAACCAGAATACGTGGTCCTAAAGATAGTAAGTGTAACTGAGAAGTACAGGTTTGTTTCCTCTAAAAGAGGAGAGAATTTAAAATACGGTGCTTGGCTGTTCAGAATGACGAAGGAAAATCGAGAGCCATGAGATGATAACCAGAAGGGATAGCAGTAGCAGTTCAAGGAAGAAAAGGAAACCTTTTTTTAAAAAAGTCTGACACTTGAGTGAGCGTCTTCCTTCTCCACCTCCTTCTACTTCCACTCTCCCTGCTTCCTTCCTTCTTTCCCTCACTCCCCTTCCATTTTAGGGATGTTATACAATGAAGAGACCAGGAGTGTTCCCAAGATTTGCAGTAGTATTGCTTTTCTTGGATGGCATTCGGGTGGCAGATAAGTTTGTCTTGAATACCAGCTCTGCGATATTGATGAGTACTGTGCCTTGAAAGGTCCTCAGGCTGCAGTAGAGGGCTCAGTGAGAATGTTGCCTGGCTAGGAATGTTTTCCACCGTGATAGTTATCTGGGCAGCAACTGTCTTGCTTACCAGGAGAGGAGGCTTCATACGTTCCATATCTTTATTCTCTTGCTGCCAGCCTATAGCGGTACCATAGGTGTTCCCAAGTTCAGGAAGCTTTGCTAAACAGACTTAAAATCCAAATGTTAAAATTGCATACATTTTCTTTAAACTATAAAATGTAGAAAATGCAGAGAAATATAAAAATGGTAACTACTACCCACAATCTGTAGATGTTAGCATTGTGGTGTATTTTCTCATCTTCTTTGCTATCTGTATATAAACTTTTATCTTTTGGTCTTTAGGTCCCTAAGGTCATTAGCAGTCAGTGATATGAATCCACTTGACCTGGATATTTTGTATTTAACTTCTGTGAAATAGAAACTAAAATTCTGCCATTATTTAGTAAATTATTATTAATGTTATTTTCATGGTATAGATATTGAATATTGGTATCCAGCAATTCTGTGATTGGTCAGTTTTTCTAAGTTTTTATCCTCTAAAATTATTGACTGTCCCTTTGATACAATTTAACAATTTCTGTGGAGATTACTTTTAGCTATTTATCGTATTTTAGCTCTGGTATTGTATCTATTCCAGACAGTCTGGTAAAAATTTTACTCTGTATGAAAGCATTTTCAACTTTAAAAATATATATATATTAAAGACATTATTTTTCTCTTTATGTATCTATTAGGATTTTTTCTGTGAATTTAGTGAACAATCACCATGTGTTCTTTCAAGATCTCTGTTACAGGTAAGTTCCACTTAGTATTAAAATACTATTTAAACATTAAATTATGTATTTTGACATTGTTTTAGTGATTGATGCAACAAGAGGAGATGCTTTTAAAGACTATTCCACAGTTAGTGTTCTATATTGTTCAATTGAAATATTGACTTTTTAGTGTTAGATATTCATCAAGATCGTATCCTAAGCCATAAAACAAACTTTAATAACTTAAAAAAAATTGAAATCATGCAAAGTGTCTTTCTGACCGTTTTAGATTTGTACTAGTAACCAAATAAGAGAAAGATATCTGGGAAAATCTCCAAATATTTTGGAAATTGAACAATGCATTTCCCTTTTTTTTGAATTGGTATCTCACTCTGTCTCCCAGGCTGGCGTACAGTGGCACATCACAGCTCGCCACAGCCTCGACCTTCTGGGGCAGTCTTTTCCACTTCAGCCTTCTGTGTAAATGGAACTAAAGGGGAGCACCACCATACCCACCTAATTTTAAACCTTTTTTTGTAGAGATGAGTGCTTGCTCTGTTGCCTAGGTTAGTTTAAAACTCCTGGGTTCAAGTTATCTTCCCGCCCCAGTCTCCCAAAGTGCTAGCATTATAGATGTGAGCCACAAAGCCTGGCCTCAAAATTAAACAACAAACTTCTAAGTAAGTCATGGGCTGAAGACAAACGTCTTGAGGGGAATTAGAAAATATTTTGAACTGAATGAAGATGAAAATACGACATGTCAAAATCTTTGAGATACAGCTAATTCAGTGCTTAGAGGGAAATTTATAGCATTAAATGTTTATATTAATAAAGAATGGCCTGCAATTTGTAATTTAAGCTACCACTTTAAGAAACCAGAAAACGAACAAGTTAAAGCAAGCAGAAAGAAGGAAATAATGAAGATAAGAGCAGAAATTAATGAAATATGAAACATTAAAAAAAAAAAAAAAAGCTAGGTGCAGTGGCTCACACCTATAATCCCAGCACTTTGGAAGGCGGAGGTGAGAGGATTGTCTGAGCTCAGGGGTTTCCAGACCAGCCTGGGCAATGTGGCGAGACCTCATCTCTACAATACATCAAAAAATTAGCCGGACAAGGTGGCACATGCCTGTAGTTCCAGCTACTTGGAAGGCTGAGGAGGAAGGATTGCCTGAGCCTAGCAGGTCGAGGCTGCGGGTAGCCGGCAGTGTGCCACTGCCCTCCAGCCTGAGTGACAGAGTGAGACTCCAACTCAAAAAGAAAAAGAAAAAATTCAGTGCAACCAAAAGGTTATTGATGAACCTGTAATAATACAAAATGAGAAAAAGAGAGAAGATACAAATGACTATTATCAAGAGTGAAAGAGGGGTTATCATTACAACCCTGTACACATTAAATGGATAAAGTGGAAATAGTATACACAACTCTGTGTCCAGAAATTTAAAAACTTAGATAAAATGGACTAATTCTTTGAAAGATACAAACTACGAAATCTCACTCAAGAGGAAATAGATAATTTGAATAATCTCATATCTATTAAATAAAATGAACTTATAGTTAAAAACCTTCTAACAAATCAAAACCAGGCCAGTTTTATACAATCTCTTCCAGAAAATAGAGGAGACAAGAATACTTATTATATGAGGCCAGCATTAATTTAGTACCAAAACCAGACCAACATTACAAATATAGAAAACTGTATAGATCAGCATCTCCTATGAACACAGACATAAAAATGTTTAGCAAAGTATTAGCAAATCAAATTCAAAAATATATGAGAAGAGATAATACAACATGACCAAGTGGAGTTTATCCTGGGAATCAAGACTTATTCAGCATTTGGAAATCAGTAATTCACCATCCAATCTAAAGTCTCAATAGATTTGCGAAAAGCATTTAACAAAATTTAATATCCATCCATAATAAAAACTGTCAGTAAAACTAGATATAGAAGAGAACTTCCTTAATCCTGGTAAAGGGTGTGTACAAAAAAACCCTGCAACTAATGATGGAAGACTAAATACTTTCATCCTAAGATTGGGAAGCAATCAAGAATGTCTGCTCCTGTATTCTTTTTTGGTTATTTTTGTTTGTTTGTTTGTTTGTTTGTTTTTGAGTTGGAGTCTCACTGGGTCGCCCAGACTGGAGTGCAGTGGCCGCTCCCGGCCACCGCAGCCTCGCCTGCCTGGCTCTGGCGATCCTTCTGCCTCAGCCTTCCGAGTAGCCGGAATTACAGGCATGCGCTACCACGCCCAGCTGATTTTTTGATTTATTGTAGAGATGAGGTCTCGCTGCCCAGGCGAGTCTCGAACCCACGGGCTCAGGCAATCCACTCACCTCAGCCTCCCAAGGTGCGGGATTACAGGCTGAGCCACTGAGCCCGGCTCTTTTTTGTTTTTTTTTTTGAGTTGGAGTCTCATTCTGTTGCCCAGGCTGGAGTGCAGTGGTGTGTTCAGGGCCACCCCAGTTGTCGACCTGCTAGGCTCTGTCGATCCTTTCACCTTAGCCTTCCAAGTAGCCGGAACTACAGATGTGCAATACCACTCCTGGCTAATTTTTAAAATTTTTTTTATTATTGTAGAGATGAGGTCTCGCCAAGTTGCTCAGGCTGGTCTCAAACCCTCAGGCTGTGGCAGTGGGTGCCTGTAGTCCCAGGTATTCAGGAGGCTGAGGTGGAGGGATGGTCTGAGCCCAGGTGGAGGCTTCGGTGAGCTGTGATTGTGCCTCTGCACTCCATCCTGGGTGACAGAGTGAACCTTGACTCAAAAAAATGAAAAAGGAAAACAACACAATTTTTAAATGGGCAAAAGATTTGAAATTCAATATGAAAAGATATTCAACATCATCATTAATACTATTATTATGCAAATTAAACCACAATTAAAAAAAAACGACCCACCTTTCAGAATATCTAAAAAAAAAAAAAAGAAAAAGAAATCTGGCAATACCTAGTATTGGTAAGGAAATATTGATTATGGGAATGTGAAGTGGTTCTGCCGCTTTGGGAAACAGTTTGGCAGATTCTTATAAAATTAACTATGCACATCACACTCCTGTTGATTGCCTAAGAGAAGTAAAATTTGATGTTCTCCTAGAAACTATGCAAATATTTAGAGCTATTCTGTTCATGATCACCAAAAGACTGAGACAGCCCAAATGTTCTTGAGTTGGTGAATTATAAATATATTGTGGTACACGCACATAATGGAATGCTACTCACAAATAAAAAGACATGAAATGGCCAGGCTCATTGGCTCAGCCTGTAATCCCAGCACCTTGGGAGGCCCAGGCAAGTGGATTGCCTGATTCCACAGGTTCGAGACCAGCCAGGGCAACTCGGCAAGACCTTGTCTCTACAATATATAAAAAATATTAGCCAGGTGTGTAGCACGTGCATGTAGTTCTAGTTACATGGAAGGCTGAGGCAGAAGGATCGCCAAGCAAATCGATGCTGGGGTGACTGTGAGTGTGCCACTGCACTCTAGCCTCTGGACAACAGAGTGAGACTCCAACTAAAAAAAAAAAAAAAAAAAGAAATGAAGTATTGATATACTCAGCAGGACAGATGAATCTCAGTTGCATTATGCTGGGTGAAAGAAGCCAGACTTTAAAGTCTACCTGATTTCATTTTAGTGACATTCTAGAGATGGCAAAAAAATAGAACTGAAGAATAGACCAGTGGTTGCCTGGGGTTTAGGATGGAGGGAGTGTTTGGCTACAAAGGAATCTCATGAGGAAATGTTTTTGGGGTGATGCAGTCATTCTGTATCCTCACAGTCACGACGACTTAATGTGTGACAGCATTCCTAATATATAATGTTTGTTTTAAGACCACTTTCCTTGTGGATAACAAAAAGGTTTTTGGGACTCATCTCATGCAAGACATGGTGAAAGATGCACTTCGGTCTTTTGTCAGTCCTCCGGTGCTTTCCCCAAAGTAAGTGTTTATAAGACGTTTTATACTTATAGTATGTGTGTTTCTTTATAAGCCTGACTTCTCTGTACTCCTCCTTTATAGCCAAAGTATAAAAATCGTTTGGATTCCAGTCTCCATATAAAATAACTCAATTATGTTAACATTAATTCATCTCTGCTACATACTGTTTAGATTAAAACTAAGGTTTTTATGAAGTTGATATCATGTCCAGTAGGAGATCAAAAACTTATAGGAGTTGTCAGACATTTGGTAGTTTGTCTTGGACTCTTACTTTGTGCAAATCACGGTGTGAGGCAGTCTGGCTTCTCAATGATCTGAGCCTGGATAAAAATCTAAAATGCATATAATTAGTGCTTAAACTGTGCTGTGGTAGAAGCGCTGCCATCATGGTGCCAGCAGAGGCTGAAAAGGATTGTGTGCGGAAAGAGCCGTCATTTGAGTTGGAATTTTGAGAAATGAGTCAGTCGTTTTCAGCGGAGGGAAGAAAAGAGGCGACGTTATTTCTTAACAAAGAATCCAGCATGTGTGAAGACCATGGAAGTATGAAATGTCTTTTAAGAGCAGCTCAGCCACCGTGGTGGCTTATACCTGCAGTCCCAGCACTTTGGGAGGTGGAGGTAAGAGGATTGTTTGAGCCCAGGAGTTCGAGACCAGCCTGGGCATCCTGGCGAGACCTCGTTTCTACAATAAGTCAAAAAATTAGCTGGGCGTGGTGGCAAATGCCTGTAGTTCCAGCTACCTGGAAGGCTGAAGTGGAAGGATCACATGAGCCCAGCAGGTCGAGGCTGCGGTGGCTGGGAGCGTGCCACTGCACTCCAGTCTGGGTGACAGAGTGAGACTGTGACTCAAAAAAAGAGAACATTTCAGTGTTTTTACTAACAACGTGTTGAATAAAACACACCATATCTTATATAAAACTCTAGTAGCTTCCTGTCTTAGTTTGGGTTCTCTGGAAGCAGACCTTGAGACCAAGATTCCTGTAAGTGTAGTTTAGAAAGTGTCCCCAGGAAAAACCAGCAGGGATATGAGAAAGTAGGACGTGAAAAGGAAGAAAGCCACAGTGAGGTGCTCTCCACAGGAAGTAGCTTTGGTTCTGCCCTGTAGGGGAGCTCCGGAGACGGTAGGTTACACCTTAGTGTGTCCTTGTCAGGAACAAGGAGCTTGAGAATTTAGTCTCTGCTTCATCCGTGTTGGGTATATTCCCTGTTTCATCAACAGTAAAATCCTCATTTTTGAGCCTGGAGGCTTGGTGTGTTCTGGTCTGACACCTGTCCTGTCGCCTCTCTGACCTCATCTCTTACTGTTCTTGTTCTCACCTTTACTTCAGTCTCACTGGCCTCCTTGCTATTCTTGGGAAGTATCGGCTCCCTCATCCTAGGGTCTTTACACAGGCGGGGAGGATCGGGGATAAACTCCACAAAGTCAGGGCAGGTAGTTTTGGCTGTTAGATGATGGCAACCAAATGTTTTGACTGATGTATCACACGTGCTAGAACAGTGATTTCACATAGTAAGCACACAAATAAGTACTTGTTGAACGAATGAATATACAAATGGGAGTTGGTTGGCAAGATAGTTTAGGATGAGACTGGGGAGTCTTGGATGCTTGGGTAAGGTTTGGTCTTTATTTTGTGGTCAGTGAGGATTTATAAGTTTTCAGGAGTGAACTGACATAGTTGTATGTGTATTTTTTTTTTTTTTTTTAACAGAAAGCATACCAGTAGTGAGAGGATAATGGAAACAAAGTGTTTAGTTAGACTAATTCAGTTCTACAGGTGAGAGATATTGAGGGATTAAATTCAGGGAGTGTAAAGGAGAAGACAGAACGATTTCAGAGATAAAATTAATAGAAAGTAGTATCTGTGATTCATTAGGGGAAGGAAAGAGACTAAAAGGTGGAAACTAAGTTGCCTTTTTTGTTTTTTAAAAAAAAGACTGAGTATATAAATATATATTCATGCTCAAAAATCAAGCAGTGTAAAAAAAGTGAGATCGTTTTTAGAAGTAACCTGAAATTTCTACCTCTCACATAACTACATTTTGATGGCCACTTTAGATAACTTTGTGTATAAAGATATGCAGGTATATAACTTCGTACAAATGGAATCGTATTCATCAGGTTTTTACCACAAACTTTCTTTTTAAAATTTTTTAAAATTTTTGGTTTTTTTTGAGTTGGAGTCTCATTCTGTCGCCCAGGCTGGAGTGCAGTGGCGCGCTCCTGGCCACCCCCGCCTCGACCTGCTGGGCTCTAGGGATCCTTCCATCTCAGCCTTCCAAGTCACCGAAACTCAGGTGCACGCTACCACACCTGGCTATTTTTATTTTTTGATTTATTTTAGAGACGAGGTCTCAACGTGTTGCCCAGCCTGGCCTCGAGCCTGCTGGCTCAGGCAGTCCTCTTACCTTGACCTCTCAAAGTACTTGGATTACAGGCTTGAACCACCTTGCCCGGCCTGAATTTTTTATTTTAAAGATGTGGGGTCCAGTTCAGGGTTGGGAATACAAATGTTCATTATGAAGGTACCCTTGTTGATGAGGTGTGACCCCCTGCAGATTCCTGCTACTACCAGTCCTGTGCGCCCCCTCCCCCAGCAGTTTACCATAAACTTTTAAATTATGTTTTATGGGTAGCTTTTTAAAACTTCTTAAAGTAAGCAAAAATTTATTTTTATTTTAAAGTTTTTTCTTTTTTTTTTCCCACTCAAAGATACATAGTAACTTTCTACCTGATGGTAGATCTAACTAATTCTTTTTAATGGCTGCCAAATATTTCATAATAAAAGTTGAATTTCTCTTATCCAAAATGCATAGGACTTGCAATGTTTTACGTTTTGGGATTTTTGGATTTTGAAATATTTGTATGAGATTATGAGATAATTATGAGATAATTTGGAAATGGCACCCAAGTCTAAATGTGAAATTCATTTATATTTCATATATACCTTATACACATAGCCTGAAGGTGATTTTGTACCATGTTTTTAATAATTTTGTGCATGAAACAGTTTGAAACCATCAGAAAGCAAAGGTGTTGCTATATTATGTCAGTGTTAAAAAAAGTTTTGGATTTTGGGACTTTGGGGATTAGGAATGTTTATCCTGTATGAAGGTATTCTTAGGAGGGGAATCACTAGGTGGAGGGGCCTCTACAGTTTTAATAAATACTGTCAATTCTGAAAAGATTGTTAATAGTTTATGTTTCCAAATATACAAGAGTACACTTTTTGTACATCCTGACTGGCAGGAGTAGGTAATCATTCCTTTTAATTTTCTTCCCATGTGTTTAGTGAGAAGTGATAATTCATTGTTATTTTAATTTGAGCACTTAGTTACAATATGTCAACATTTAGAATTGTTTTTCTATGAACTACTTATTTATATATTTTGCCCATTGACTTTTATTACGCAACTTACTGTTTTCAGCAAAATGTGTAAGAGCTCCTGTATTATGGAAAGTTAATCCTCTGTATTAACCTGTAATAGGCATTGCAGATATTTTTTTCTTTAGTGTTTTGCCAGGGTTTTTCTTTCTATTACTTAAAAATTCTTTATATGTTGGGATTTATTTCAGTTCCAATGATAATTTTTTGTATTGTGTATTTCTGTTAAGTTTTAATATTTGGTAAGGCATGTTCTTCTATATCATTCTTTGTCCAGGGCTTTCTTGGCTCTTCTTTGGTATTTATTCTTCTACCTCAGTGTTGAGATAATTTTGTACAAATTTTGAAAGGTTGGAATTCTGTTAATTTTAAAAGTTCTCATTTTTATGCTATTACATTCTCTAATCAAAGGACATAGTATTATTTTGTGTCCATCCATTGTTTTCTTCATGTGGTTTCTATATTTGGTAAATGTATTCCTTGATTGTTTTCAGGGAATTTGTTTTTCTTTTTCTCTCTTTTTTTTTCTGAGTTGAGGTCTCACTCTGTCACCCAGGCTGGAGTGTAGTAGCACGATTATGTCTCACTCAGCTGGACCTCCTTAGCTCAGGTGATCTTTCCGCCTTAGCCTCCCGAGTAACTGGGACCACAGGTGTGTGCCACCACTCCCAGCTAATTTTTGTATTTTTTGTAGAGACAAGGTCTTGCTATGTTGCCTAGGCTGGTCTCAAACTTCTGGGCTCAAGCAGTTCTCTCACCTCAATCTCCCAAAGTGCTGGAATTATAGGCATGAACTACCGTGCCCTGCTGGGAATTTTTTCTTTGTTTTGTTACTGCTATTGTTTCTGTTGTAATTATTGGAATCTCTTTCCCAAAAAGATAATGTTAGCTTTTATTTTTAATATTTACATAAATTATTTCATTTTGTCTTATTGCATTGATAGAATCTTTAAAACAAAGTTGAGCAGTAGCATTTAATGATCATAGTAGGTTGATCATTGTGTTAATGCCAAAAGGTTTGGATTTTACTGTTGGAAGAAAGGTTTTGGTTTTTGTTGTTGATAATCTTATGTAACTACATTGTTAGAACCGTACCTGTTTTCTTTGGAGTTTTTATTGTTACTTTTGCATCTTTCTTTAAAATAGTTATTTTTTTTTTTAAATGAGGCATTAATCATTTTGTTCATAATTTAAGCTTATGTATGCTTTCAGTAGGAAGTGAACTTTTTATTGCTTCCTATGAATATTGTAACTTTTAATTTTCTCTTTTATATCCAAACGTCATTTTTTATAGTATTTTAATTTTCAAGTAAAGACTTTCTGGATAACTTTTTATTGTTTATTTTTGATTGTATTCATTATAATCAAAATGTTGCCTATAAAATCTGGTCTTTTAAAATTTTTATTGTATAGCTAAGCGCATGATTGATTTTCACATCTGTTAGACATATAAGAGAAAAATACAAATTTTTGCCTTAAGAAGCTGCAGAGTTCAGTGTTCACCTAATTGACTGCTAATTGTGTTATTCAGTTCCTCTTTTATTAGGTCTGCATAATTCCAAACAATATAGCTAACATATATATAGCTGTAGGTATATATGTAGCTCTATGTATGTAT